TTGTTATTGTTTTGGGATTTTTGTTACTGTTATTTATTTGTCCCTTTTGGCTTTTTGTTTTTCTTATATTTTGTTTTGTTTTATTTTTCCCTCCAATACAGAAAGGATAGATGTACCTGTGTAGGCTTATACATGCCTAGAATTTCTCCTAAAGAGTTTACAAGAATTGATTTTATTATGTGTTGATGCTATTAAACAACTATTTTGAAGAAAACAAGACATGGTAGCTATTGATGATTTCCTATCATCTTGGTTTGAAGTCCTATAATGCTTCTATTCTTTCATAATTGGTTTTAGTCCATTTTCTATGATTTTCTTTAAATATATATGAAGGTATGAACAGCTATTTTGAAGAAAACAAGAGTTATTATGGTAGCCATTGTTGATTTCCTATTGTCTAGTTTTGAAGGCCCACAATGCATTCATTCTTTTGTTTTGATTGGTTTTATACCAGTTTGTTTTGCTTGAATTTATTGTGTATGAAGGTATAGACAACTATTTTGAAGAAAACAAGAGACATTATGGTGGCCATTGTTAATTTCTTGTCTTGTTTTGAAGTTCTGTGTTGCTTGCATTGTTCTGTTCTGATCTGCTTTGTTCTTTCTGTTTTGTTTTCTTTAAAATAAAATAAAAAATAGTAAAATTAGGTTCAAGAGCTAGTGAAATCTTTATTTTTATTAATATAACTACACAAACAGGCAAGCAAGGCCTGGGAAAGCTTAAATTAGTTGACCTTGGAAGTCTCTTAATCTCTGACTTTTAGTTTCCCATTTGTGAAACTCCCTTTCCTGAACACCCTTCATGGTTGTTGTAAGGATCGTATGAGCTCACATCTTTTGTGAAAAGTGTAGACCCCCACACAGCCAGAGTGTGCTGTGATTCGGGGGAACTATAACACTGGTGATCAGAAAAACATACAGATACACAATGAGAAAATAAATGCTCTAACTGACTAATCTGTTTCAATATCATATATTTTTTAAAATTCATGGGAAGGTCTTTTGACCCTAGGCGTTAAATTTGTCTTCATCTCTGTTCTTCCTTTTGCCAAAAATTGACAAGGGAAAAATATATTTTGTTTGTTTTAAACATCTGCTTTACCTTTTGTCCTAATTCTAAATTGCTCGTCTTTCAAATGCAATTTGTTATCTCTGCCTGTAATAGTATCAATCCAGTTTACAAGCCTTCTCTTCCAGAACACTTTTGATTGATTACACCCCAATTTGATCCCTACTTGACCATTCAATAAGTGTTGCTGGAATCTTTTGATGTCTGGGTTAGTGCTGGAACAGGGTGACAAAACAAAGCAAGCAAACAAACAAACAAACAAAGGGACAAAACTCGAGAGCAAGGCATTAGTTTTTGTCCTCCAGGACCTTGTGGACCAGCAATGAGATTAGCATACACAGGAAATAGTATTATCATTGTGTGCTGAGAAGGAAAAATACACATTTATTCAACAAACATTTAATGATTGCTTACTTAGTGCATGCAACAGAAAGTATGAAGATAGATATCTTGTCTGTTTTTAAGGCTGATCTAGTAAAAGAAATAGAAAAGGAAAAAAATCACAATTCAGCTCCAGATTGACATGGCAGCAGCCTCTGCCAGATGGAAGTGGTTGGGAATTTTTCTCCATAGATTATAAGTAAAAAGAGAAAAGGACAGGAATAGATTTCAGGTAAATAATGTAATATGTGTAAAAGAAGAATGTCTTGGAAAAGCATGACTTTTACCAAAGACTTGGTAAAGCATGACTTTTATCCAAAGCAGTTCAGCATGATTACTCTAGCGTGAGAGAGGAGGACAAGAGAGAAAAATCTAGAGGCAGGCGGAGGTCAGAGGCCAAGAAGCAGCCTCTTCAGATTTGCATTTTAAAAAGACCACTCTAGCAGAAAAGGGTGAAATGTTACATCAAGGGAGCCAAGAAACAGGACAATAAAGCTAATAAATAATTTTAATGATTTAATCAACCAAGAAATGATGAAAGATTGAATTTCAGCAAAACATTGGAGGGACAAGAGACAGATTTAGAGGCATAAAGGAGCAGTAAAGGATAAATTATATCTCTAAAACTCATATGTTGAAGTACTAATCCCAAGTACTTCAGAATGTGAGTTATGTGGAGTTAGGGGCTTAAACAAAGCAGTTAAGTTAAAATAAAGTCAGCAGGGTAATCCTCATCTAATAGGATACTTTTCCTATAAGAAGAAGAGATCAGGACACAGACATGTTGTTTTAGTTGCTTTTCTCTCATTACTGAGACAAAATATCTGACACTCAAAATTAGGAAAGGGAAGGTTTATTTCTTAGAGTTTAAGGGGTTTCAGTCCATACTCAGTTGACTCCAAGCAGCAAGGTGACGTAGTGGGGGACAGTGGTTCAAGGTGGCTGCAAACAGTAAACACAAACCATGGAAAAGAAAGAAGCCATGCCTTCTTCCCACCCTTACACGGTATCTCGGCTCCACTCCTGCCTGGGTGCAGCACTCACACCATCAATCCCAGCGCCAGACAACAAGCCAATCACGAACGCCAGACTCGGCCCCACTGATGATTACATGAGGCTTAAGTGGGAGTCGTGCGAGCACACTATAACACATGTACAATAGGAAGACCCCGCAGAGATTCAGGGAGCAAACAGCCACCTATGAGCCAAGGACAGAGGCCTCAGGAGAAACCAAGTCTGCTAACTTCATCGCTGACTTGTGGCTCCAAAATAGTGAGAGTAAAATTCTGTTTTTTATGTCACCAATCTGTGATATTTGTCATGGCAGTCCTATAACTAATCAAGGAGGAAGAATCAAGAGAATTGGTGAAAGCAGGATGAAGAGGGCAAAAGAGGAGGAAATATAGGGCAAATTGGAGGCTTTTGAGTCAGGTAGTCTAGTATTGGGGCTCAAAGAATCATACTCTGACCTAAAAGGCAGCTTATACTGCTTCTGCCTACCAGGCATACAAGCCCTGGAACTCTCTTATCTGTATTAAGAGCAGACTGCAAGAAGAACACAGCCCTCGCACTCCCTAAAATGCCATTATCTTTCTCAAAAAAGAAAACTAAGGAATGTAACTACATCAGTACCGATTTCTCCTATCAGGAAATGTCTTTCCTTTGGGTACATTTAAGTTCCAAATAGAATGTCTTGGGGATTAATCAGTTACCTAATAAGAAATTTCAAGCCCTCAGTGGGTATTTCCTCATGTGCCCTTGCTATAGTTTTTTCCTTTTGTATGTTAATAAATTTCTGTGTCTTTTCTCTTATTTAATCTTTGTCAGTTTATTCCAGTAACTCTTTAAAGGACAGAGAAGAAATTTCCCTCCACCCCTACAGCAGGAAGTGGGCTGCTGTGTTCCAAGAGGTAAGAATACTCAATGGCAGTGATGCTTCTAGTTTGTGGTCTTAGAAGGACAGCCAGCTGAAGACGCCCACTAAGTTGGCTATGCTGAGCTGGAGCCCAGATGAGGCATGAGCTGAGGCTACAGATTTGGGGATCTTCAGATACTAGGGCAGGTGAAGCAGAGCAGTGGTTGAGGTCACCTAAAGATATGTGTGCTATGAAAAGAGAGTACAGAAGACAGAGACATAAAGAAGCCTTCACTTATGGAGAAGAAGAAAAGCAACTTGGGCACAAGTCAAAGAGGGAAACATTAGTGGAAGTCCTCAGAAATAAGAATCAAGAGAGTCGAGTGCTGTCCAGGTTTTAATGCCAGAACCACAGTAATGTCTGTTTGATTTTTCAGAGGCAGAATGCTTTTCAGTTTTACATTCCTGTCAAATAATGTCTGCCCTTGTGTCAGGTGACCTCCTTTATTCCTTCCTGTAGATGCTGCCCCTGGCTATTTTCTCTCTCACCTAGAGGACTCTCTGAAGGATCATCAAGCTTTTCATCCAAGGCCCTCCTTTCAGCTTCCCTTAGTGAAGCCAGAGGTTGGAGGAGGTTTTGGGGTGAAGTTGTTCTTTTCAGGGATCCTTAAGGGGTTCAGCGGTAATCCTCTGCTCATGGTCAGAATGTGTAGGAACTATGGAAGACATTGTTTAGCTTCTCTAAGCCTGAGAAGGACCTAGTCTTTACAGGTACTGAATAGTTAGAAGGCATTCTTCTTTACTTACTTTGGGGAAAGGGAAGGATCCCTTCTCTAACCAACCAATCCAGCAAGAGATACCTAGAAGAAATATAATGATTTTCCCAAAATCACTCAGAATTTGGACCTGGCTTTGTTCAACTATAGAGATCCTTCTGCTGTGAAATTCTATTCTTTGCTAATTGTCTTACCACTCAGTCCTTCCTTCTGGAATGCTCCCCAAAAACAGTCATCCAGCAGTCATGAACATTTCCTATTCAAGAACAGGAAATCAGAAATAGCAAGCTTTATACCTTAAAAAGTATCCTGTCTAGTTCAAATCTGAATGCTGGATGTGATTGGTAGATCATGTTTGCTAACTGAATCACCTTTAACAGCAATAGTCCTAAATAATTTACGTTTGGAATTTTTGTTATTTCAAAAAAATTTTTTGAGACATAAAAGCAGGCCCTCTTACCCTCTTATTGACATGCAAGTAGAAAAGATTTCGCCACCCAGGTGTGCAGTCTCAGGCTTAGGTGACAAATTCAGGGCTCTGGTCACTCTCCCTCCTGGCCTTTCTGAGATTTTTCAGCATGAATCACCTCCATGAGAGACCCCATTAAGGGTGACTCAGCCTCTCCCCGAGTGTCGGCTACCAGAAGGAAGGGAAACTTGGGGACAATGAGCTGTTCTAGTTCTTCCTTGTTTTGAGAGTAAGTCTCCTTCTCTGGAGCTCCCTTTCACTGTTAGGAGGGAAAGACCTATGCTGAACACAAGCCCTAAAGCAGGGTCCTGGCAAGCTTCTCCTTTTCACTGTCACCAGTCAGGGCTTAGAAAGGCAGCTCTGGCCTTAGCTTCACTGGCCAGCTGGGTGCAGGCAGCCCCAGGCTACGCTGCGCTGAAGGTCTGTTTCCTCATACCTGAGCCAGCCTTGCCAGCCCGCACTATTTAAGGTGAGCACACTGGAGCTTTCTGTGAGTCACAGCACTCAAAAGGCAAAGCACTGAGTTCCACGCAGCCCAGCTCCTGAGTCCTGCTGTGGGAAGGAATCCTTCTTCTCGCCATGGCTTCCCTGGGACAGATCATCTTCTGGAGGTAGGGTACTCTTCTCTCTGTCCTTAAAGTTAAGAAGAGAGGTGAAAGCTTTTAGGAATCTGGAGAATTGCTGGGCTGTTGCATGTGACCCCGCTTGTATCCTCTGATCCAGCATTAGGCCAGTGAGAGCCTCACCAGACTATAACCTAACTGAATTCAGCATCACACCCCAGCCTTGTGAGGCACCCAGTGAGGAACAGCGAGGTTTTTTGGGCGATGGGGTGCTATGGAGGGCTGACACTAGTGAGGTAGCACTGAGCTGAGAGGAGCACAGGGCACCAGGCTGGGAGCTCCACAGAAATGTACGATGCTGAGCACTTTAGGGCCGCTGAGTAGGGTGCTCTGGGAAAGAGAGGAATGAGTGGAGACTGGCGGGATGCAGTAGCATTTCTATGCGCTCTTAGGATGAAGGAGGACGATGTGTTTTGACTCTTCTTTGTGGATGTAATTTCTCGATACTCCTGAATAATTCACTCCAACAGCCCCACCCCACCCCCAACTCCAGGCGAGGGTCTCTAGTTTTCCTCGGAGTTCTTTGGGCAGAGACCCTGGCTGCTGCTGCTGCTGCTTAACTTTCCAGAAATGAAAGAAGCAAGTCTCTCCCCTTCCTTTTTGCTCCTCTCAGTTATATTGTAGTTGCCTTTCCCCTTTAGGATATCATTTACCTTTCTGGAAAGGAAGAGATGGAAAATAAACGAGTCGGTGATTTAATGTCAGGCAGAATTCATTACAGTGTTAAGAAGACATATTTACTGGTTCCAAGCATTGTTTGAAGGACCAATCCTAATAATTTCTAGTGTCTATTTCAATGAGAAGAAAATAAAAGAAAACAGAGGGAAGAAATAAGGAAAAGACCAAGAATCTAGATTTGCAGTGAAAAGTTCATAAAGAGATTGACAAAACACTGGGAAGTTCTTTCCTTGAAACAAAATGTCAGCTTCCTCACTCAGCTGAAACCACCTGTCCTGGAGTGACAGTCTTGGTGGGGTCAGCAGGGCTTCCTGCACAGCGCTCCTCTCCCTGTGCCTGGCAAGAATGCTGGGCTCCATCAGCTCCCTGGAAGAGCAGCAAGTCGTGGTAGGCTTTCATCCAACTTCTTCTACCCTGAAAGGATTCCCCTAAGAAGCACCTGCATCTGAAGTGTTAACATTTTGCAAGCTTATGGTAGGTGCTTTATAGTAGTATGTCTTTTAAATCTCCCTTCCAAACCCTTGTGAATGTTCACGATCACCTCAAGTAAGTATATCATTTGCTTAAGGCCTTAGCTCATGTGTAAGGGGCTTTAAACCCAGTACACTTGACACTCAAGGCCCAAGTGCTCTACCCTGTGCTACCCTTGCCTCTGTTCCCACTGCCCCAGCTCCCTTTTCCCCAATCCCTCCAGCTTTGTCCCATGGATGGGAAACAGGCAACAAGTGCCTCTGTTGTTCCAAGGACAGGCGTGTGGGCTTTCTAATAATACATGACAACCAGCCTGACTGGTTTTGCTGGAGGATTACCAAGAGGTGGTTGTTCAAAATGTGGATCCCCCACCTTTAGAGACCCACTGGAGTCAATAGAGGCTCTTCTTGTTGGCCCCTGTTGCCTGACTAGCTATTCATGCTTTGGTTGCAAAAGCAGGAATGAGCTGCAAGGGCAGCAGATCCTTTGTGCAAAGCAGTCACCAGGAAGTGGGAAAATGGTCAGCTTCAGTGGTAAGCAGTGTTGTCCTTAAGCAGCTTGTGTTAGGGATTGAGATGGAGCCCACAAGGGGGAATTCAGTGTCCCATCGTGGCCTTAACAAACTTTCTCCCTTTGCCATAATTTTATTAACTCATAATGGAACCTCTTTGGGGGAATGTTCAAGGCTGCAGTGATGGTGACAGTGTAAGAGTCTGCCATCTTTTGCAGAACCAGTGTATTATTCCTTTAACAATTACTAAAGAGTTTAATACCTTCATATATTATGGAATGTTGCTTAGGAAATTCAATTTTTACCATGCCCACCCTCTTTGGCACACTCAGGAGCTGTGTAATCGAGGACTCTCCACTCCTCTCCCCATCATGGCTATCAGTAGCAGCAGCGTCCTTTCAAGGAACATTTGTTGAATGCTGCTTGGAGTCCAATAGTATCAAAGTTACATTTCCTGATCTGAGGGCATTGAATTCCAATCAACAATACTAATAGAGTATGTGTTTTTTGTGATAGATTCCCAAATAGATATTTCCAACATACATTTAAAAGTAAGATAATAGGTACAAGATGCAATAGGAAAGATGTGGTAGGAACACTTTCTTGCCCAGGGTTTGAGGGAAGAAGCGGCCATCTTTGGGGTTTGATAAATACCTGTCAAGAGAATGAAGCTTTTTACCCAAGGGTAGACAAAGTAGAAAATAAGAATGGCTTGAACAAAGGAGTCTCAGGAACTTTCCTCTGGGATCTTTGACTCCCATTTTGCCCAAGTTTTCAAGCTTGTTCCTGGGTCAGATATCCAAGACTTTGATGGTAAGGAAAGCTTACCAGGGCCTGGCCTGGAGAGCTCTTGACACAGGTCATGTTGGGTCCAACCAGCAAGCTTTCTGAGCCTATAGAATCTGAGACTTCAGGGCATTTAGAGCTCAGCCAATGAACATGACATTAATTCAGAGAATGAAATAAATTGTGCATTGCTTAGAATATTTAAATTGGTGGCACCTTTGCTCCTATCTCCCCAGAAGTATATTATCTTCTGAATATGATATCCTTCCTCATCTTTACCTGGTGCAACCTTAAGTGCAAATGGCACTTCCACTTTGAAGTCTTCCTTATGCCATTAATGTCTTTCATACTCACAATCAGACTCATTTATGAAGGTCTATTGGGGTACCTTTCTGTTTCTCTCACTAGCGTTAGGCCCCTGAGGTTCTAGACTTGGTCTTGGTCATTGTTCCCAGAAACAATGGTAATACTGTTGCTGTGCAACTGGACCCTGGGATTAGACTGCCTCAGTTCATATCCTTGCATCATCATGAATGCTTGATGAGCTTCAATTTCCTTATCTATAAAATGAGGCTTAATAGTAATAGTACCTAACCACTAGGATTTATCATTATGAGCCTGCCAATCCTAAAAAGCTCTACCAATGTTAGCCCTTGCTCTCATTATTTGCAGGCCGTCCTATGATGACTGCTACAAAAATTTAAGGTCAGTTCCAGGATCCCTCTGGCTCTTCTATTCCTAATCTTCTAGTGAAGGCATATAGTACATTAATTGCCACTGGGGTCTCTTAAAGATGTTAAACTCTAACAAGTTAAGCTCTGAAAAGTTTTCACAAAGTTCTCCCAACTCTCGTTTTGAAAAAAATTAGGTCCATCTCTTTTTTTCCTATGAACCTGAGGCTTAATCATGCTCTAGGCCTGACGATGGCCTGGTTGAAACTCTTCTTTAAATGTCTCCCTCTGCCAGCACAAATAAAGGCTTGTGCTAAAGAGCATCACAGCGGTGAGGTGAACTTGGGAGTTCCTTTTGTGCATAGCTGAGTATCTAGGCCTTCTGATGCAGACAGCAAAATCAAAAGCCTTCAGGGTGCAGTTGAGCTATGTAACTATGACCAAATACTCAGTGGTGGTTATTTAGCTAACCTGCCTCACACTTCTAATTATCTCCATTTTACAAGTGCAAATATTGAGGCTAAATAATTTGCTTAGTGTCGCTCAACCAGTCAATGACAGGAAACAAGAAGTTCCTACCTGGTTGTCTATAATTATATTTTTTTGCTTCATCTTTTGCCATTTAAAATAGAACACAACTCATCACTGGCAAAAAAAAAAAAAAAAACCTCTTCTTCTTCCTCAAAAAAAATAAATAAATAAAATAAAAATCTCTTCTTCAATGACCAGTAACTGTGATAGCCAAAGAATTCTTAATTAGCTGATGAGGAAGCCATCCCCAGAACAGGCTGGAGCCGGTGGATTGCTGGTCTGTGTTGTTTCAGGGAGCTGCTCTATATCAGTGAATGAATTAGAAAGGAATGACTGAACTCAGTAAGAATTATATACTTTCAGAGGTAGACTAGTCAGAAAGACAGTACTTCCCCTCAGTTTTGTCAATGAGATAACCAAAATAAAACATGTAGCTTGCTCAATACAATTATAAAGAATGGTACAACAGGGCTTTTAAAATAATCATACATTGCTAGTGACCTTAGCCAAAAGCTGTGTTGGATCCCAGCAGAACATATGTTACCCAAACATCAGGGATCCTCAAATCTGGGAGACTAAAGCTTCATCCTTGTTTACCTGGCTGAAAGGATTTTGTGCCTTGGATGGGAAGCTGCAGCGGTGGGAGACTGGGAGGCAGAACCAAGGGGCTCTGCCTTGAGGTTATCTTCCCTGCCCCTAAGCCCTACCTGTGGGGCAAAATGAATTCCAGTGGGCTACCTGTGCATCAGTAATGCCCCTTAGGCTCCACCCCAAATCTAAGCTACATGTATGCCCCCACACCACGTGTCGGGCAGAGAGAATGCCAGACCCCAGAGGTCATGGAGTCTCTCTCCACATTCTTAAAATAAAGGCCAATTTTATTTTATATTTCTAATCTTTTTAGTCACACTGAAAATTCTATCACTGGCCATATGAAGAAATAAAAATAATGTGAATATTAGAACTAGGCTTATCCATGTACATAGTTCATCTTTCCACTTTCTGGCTTTGTGACCTGAGTAAGTCACTTAACAACTCTGCCTGTTTCTCCCTCAGTAAACTGGGCATCAATAATAGTACCTAGCCCCTGGAGTCATCGTGAAGACTCACTGAATTCATGTATGTGAAAACCTCAGTGCAGCACTGTGCACGTGTTTAGCACTTTGGGTTAGTTACTCTTACTGAATTATTCCCTCCCGATATTTTTAGAGAACAACAAAGTGACTTGGAGTGAGGCAGGAGAATAATAAGGTAAAGAAAAACCTCGATGACCTTATGATGTTTCAAGATTCTGCAGATCTAAGATGCTTCTTTCTAGTCTCTGTTCTGTGAGATATGAG